AACCTTGAGGTATGCCCAGGAATGGGGAAGGGGTGAGGTGACCTGGGGGAAGAAGCAGTAACATACCACAGTACCCTGGGAATTCTACATACCGCGGCTTACAAATGCGCAGCTGACTTGTTTGCCTTTGGTTGGATTTTGTGGTTGCAGTTTTTATATCAAAGTGCATATCATCATTGAACCTTGCTTGGAATGGCCTCAAGAGAAAGAGGCGGCTTGGATGATTTCTATCTTCCTTCCCCTTTCCATGGCATATCTATTGCACAGCCAGGAAGGTGCACTATTTTTGATTTATGTAGGCTGACTTTTGGCATATTGGGGGCTATTGAGTAGTCCTCAAACTTCCTGCAGCCTCCTCTTTCTGCCTCTTATTAGGGGACCTTCCTCCTCTATTCATACCAGGTCTTTGTTGCTCCTGTTGCCTCCATTCGCACTCTGTGCTCTTGGTTAACCTCACTTCTAGCCCACGGGTTGCCAAGATCCCCTCTTCTTCGCGAAAAGGGCAAAATGTGCTCCCCTCACTTTTCCTGCCACGGCTTTGACTATCCTGTTCCTGTCTTTACCCACAGCAAAGTCAGCTCTTTCTCATTCTAATCTTTTCCTCCCTAATGTCTTTTGAGGGAAGAAGCCAGGATGCAAACAAGATATGTTTGGAGGCCAGAAGAACAGAACCAAGTATCGTGAGTGGAATGAAACTCTAATGATGAGAATGTAGGTCTTTCCTGGTAAAAAAGGAGGTTTAGGACAGATAGGCAAAAGTCAAGAGCCACGATAGCATTCCATTTAAACTGTGGAACAATTGCTTTAACCGTAGGAGACAGTATTTCCAGCTCCTCCCCCTAATATGGAAGTTACCCCTGAGCTGTGCACAGACTTATTTGTAATGGCTAGGTAGTTGTGCAGTGTCACACTGCATCTAACGTGGGCCAGCTGGCTGTACTGTGTAAGGATGTATGTGATACAAAGCCAAGCCATGAGGTGAGGAAAAAGTACAATGAGAAGCAGAAAAAATTTAAACCAAGCCCTTAGCAGGAAAATACTTGGAACGGCATCTCCAAGCTCATTTCTGACCTGACTGTGAATGGGAGAGCTCGCTGGATAGCTGTTGTGGGAAGATACGTATGACAGTGAGAAAGCGGAAGGTCATGACTACGGCGGTCATACCTACGCCAGCCAGTGATACCACAGGCGCCCCTTGCCTGCGCCAAGTTACCTCTGAAGGAACAGAGCACGCGTACTCCTGAGATGGCTTAATTTAGGGATGTGTACAACTGAAGGTGCGACTGTGTAGGAGACTACAGCTGACAGCAAGTTTAAGAGTACAGGTACGGACAGAACAAGCTGCGGCGGTGTTTAAAAGTCACATGGTCGCACCGGCATATGACACTGTGCTGAGGGAGCTGACTTGTCCCTAATGGGCGCAGAGTACGGGCACGGGAACGTGGCTGTCGGTGGTGCCCAGCCTCTGCTGAGTCCCATCGGCAGCCCCTTCGGAGCCCAGCTGGCTTCAGCAGAACCGTGGCTGCCTGCGGGGGCCTGCCCTGCCCCGCTCTGCAGCACTGGGTCTGACTAGAGAAAGCAGACAAAGGGTGGAAAAAAGGAAGTGCTATCATCCCCTTTTTATAAAAAGAGGTACTGAGACTGCGAACAATTGAGTGGGATTTCCAAGGTAATTTCTTTTAGGTCTTACGCTCCAAAGCCATGTTAGGAAGTTATGCTTAAAAGGTTCCTCTGATTTCAGCTGGATGGTCAGTGTGTAAATGCAAAGGGATGGCTGAGTCTCCTAGGACATGCCAGTCCTTCTATTGCACAACTGCCTCTCCTAAGAGTGGCACTGCTTTGCATTTCTGTATTCATCGCATGAAGAGTTTGAATCACTTTTGTTTGTATTAACCCACTTTTTGATAAATCCCAAACTTCATGACGCTGCTGTCTGAATTCAGAAGTGTGTGGACAGAGACAAACTTCTTGTTATACCTGATAGTTGTGAGGAGTCAGATCGGTCATGAAACAAAACCCTCAGCTAACTTTACAGGAAAGCACAAACTAGAAATGCCTTATCAACAGCTGCTGGCTTTCTTCGTTACACAGAACTGGTGGTTCTGCTGCTAGAACACAACCAACCTCCAAGAAACATCCAGTGTAGCGTTTTGGTTGGGGGCTGCTGCTGCCACTTGGCTTCCACTGCCTTCAGCTGCAGTGCAAGTGATCTATATGCTTCTTCCATGCACGCAGAAATAGCTTAGTTCTGAAGTTGCAGCCACTAACATCCAGCTGGATGTGCTGGTCTCCAACACTGAGGTGGGGTCGCTTCAGTCAAATGTTGCTGTGATCTGTTGCCATCCCAAAGATGGCCTTCAGGGCTTTTCCTACTCTTGACTACCAGTCTTTAGCCATAGGCAAAAACTGCAGCCCGCAATGGCTTGAGTCCCAAGAAATTGTGACTGTAGTGAACCATGGCCTCATCAGCCACTTTAAAAGAACAGTATTAGCAATGTAATAACTTAGCAGAGTGTAGTTCCCCTGTGCAAATACGGGTCTTCCTGCTCAGAGCTTGTTTACGGTTAACTGTGTTTCTGTGCATGTTGTTACTATCCCCTGCAGAGCCTTGCTTATTTAACAGGGTTGTGTCTAAGAGCACATGGATCAGCCTCATCATTATACATTTGCAGGACTGGGTCACAGTAAACAAGATGAGAGGGAGAAAGAATTTCTCCCTTTCAATAAAACAAGTGATTCCCATATATTGCCAAGGAAGAATTTGCATTTGTTCTAGGACAGTTACTACGAAGTAGTAGCTCTCCCAAACTGATGAGCAGGCCAAAAGCGTTATGCTCCATATGGGGGTTGTTCACTTGAGATCAAATGAAGTATCTCTTTTCCCCATAATATCTGACATACCCTTTATCTGGGGAAGGAGGAG